GCACTAAACCGATTTCGCAGCGTTGACACATTGTCACCTTGAAACTTATTTAAACTGGGAACTGACATTGTATTAATTTTGACACTGAATCAATTTGTGGCATTTCAAATCTTTATAAATCCTTTGGCCCCGCATACTGTAAATCAACAACTGTTTGTTTCAAAACAAAATTATTCATTTTACGAGTAGATAAAGGCAATTTTGGTATATAAAGATGCCCAAACAGTTAAATAGTCGGTGTAAGGAACTCGTGGCCTCGTTAATGCACTACTTTGAGCAAGAAAGGGACAACAACGGGCCTTTGTTGCCTTTAAATGCTGTTCAAGAGGTAGGTTACTAATAATTATATGTAATGTATATTAATAATAGTGAAATTTTATTTCATTTTTTGTAGCGTGTTGCTGCTGCTTTAAAAATTAGTTTAAGGACAGTTAGTCGTATTTCCGAGGGTGTGAAAAGTGATGCAAATTTAGAATCGCCCAAGAAAAAGCGGAGTTATATTAAATGTGTAACCAACACAGCGACATTGGATACAAGTGCCATTCGAGAAGTGATCTATAATATGTATCACAAAAGTAAGATCTTATTATAATAACTTATCAGAAATTTGCATTAATTTGTTAACTAAATTATAATGTCATATTACACATGGTTTCAGAAGAACAAGTTACGATACAAACTTTATGGTCTCGATTAAGAGATAGGGCATTATTTGATGGTAGTGCCACGTCTTTAAGGCGGTTGCTTAGAGATCTTGGATTTAAGTGGCTTAAGGACAATCCGCGACGACGGCTCATGGAACTACCAAGTATAGCTTTGAAAAGGGTGGAATTTCTAAGGCAATACAATCAAGCCAAGGTTGAGGCCTTATACCAGTTTGTCTTCCTCGATGAAACTTGGATATTTCAAAATGGGACCATAGGTCGCTCTTGGCAAAATGGAAACCAAAAAAGCGTGAAAGCTATTAAAACAGATGGTAAAAGGTATGTACTTTTACACAATTTGCACTATAAAATTTAAAACTAATTTTTTTACTTTAGATACATTATATTACATGCTGGAAATGAAAATGGGTTTATTGAGGGTAGTGAAGCGATATTTTCTACGAAAACAAAATTGAGCGATTACCATGGAGAGATGAACCAGGACAATTTTTTGAAATGGTTTCAACATCAGTTATTAGAAAAATTGGAGAGTCCATCTATGATTATACTGGATAACGCCCCTTATCACAGCATGATATTGAACAAAGTGCCCAACAATGCATGGACAAAAAAAAATATCCAAGACTGGTTGACAAATCAAAACATACCATTTTTAAACACAATGTTTAAAACAGAGCTATTGAGTATTGTTGCTCGGTACATAATGCTTCTTAATTATATATATTTTGGTCGACAGTTTATATTTCTTTTGTTTATTCCTATTCTTAAAATAACTGCTTTTTTAGAAACAAACCACCTAAAATATACGTGATTGATGAATTGGCGGAACAACATGGGCACAAAGTTCTTCGTCTGCCTCCTTACCATTGTATATTTAACCCTATTGAGTTAATTTGGGGCATAGCAAAAGGTTACTATAACAGACATATTGGTAGAGATGGTAACAGTGAAAAAGACTGTTTGGATATGTGGAACGAGGCTCTACAAACGGTTACCCCAGACATGTGGAAAAATAGTGTTCGACACACTGAGCAAGAAATTTTTAAATGGTATGAAAGAGAACGAATTTTTGATCGACCAGACATCGAACCTTTAATAATCAACTTTGAGAGTGATGAAGATTCAGATTCAGACAGCGCTGAAGAAAGAAACTCCGACTAACTTTATTGTACAGAAAAAGCTTACACCAGTAGCTTACCTAATTTTAGAATGCATTTTTCTGTATGAATTCTGTAAAATAAATACCATGCATAAAATTTGGAGGACCCCATTTGGATTTTTATTCAGTACCTTTAAGCTATCAATTAAATATGGTAGTTTCATAGTGTCATCTGATCAATAATTGTCATACTTAATGATTATGCAAGTACAGATCTATAATTTTATTATACTATTATTTTTGTTCTCATTTGAGGTTAATATTGCTTATAAACCTAGATATGTAAATAATAAATTTTATTATTTTACAAAAAGTTTGGCAACAATGTAAATTTTTCAACACACCCACCTTGATGACGTGCACGCCACTTTGTTTGGCGTTGACTATACCACCTTTATCATATTAGAAAAAAGTACCCTTACCTAGATCCGATTTTGATATTGATTAAAAAAATACGAATAATAACTATTTGTACATGTATTAAGAAGCTGTCAATGTTTGCTTTGTAATGTGAAGCATCATTTACTTTAGACGTTTATAAATTATCTATATAAAAACCTTAAATGCCCTAGGCTTGAAAAATGTTACCATTATCCTTTTTCAATTTGTAAGATAAATAAATCAGACATTACTTTATTTTATTTTAAGATCCACGAAAAACAAGTGATCATACTGACAATTATACAAACATACATGTAGAAGGCCCATACGTTGTCCGGAAAATATTTAATGCGGTGAGACAAAACAAACAAAACGTATGTCTGCAAACAAACTTCCGCGCATAAAGACCGGCTGTATATAATAATGATAATAATAATAGTCTTTATTTGGGCGCAGTTTAGCAACCGCTATTCTTTCACGTAACTCATGGAAATGCCAAAAACCTTGAAAAGACCTTTATAGCCGCATCCGTATGAACATCATTGATAAAAACAGATGGCACGTTCAAACTAATGCGGATACTCCGTAATTGCGGATGCATCCCTTTGTCACAGGTGCAGATGTTCAAAAAACCAGCGGACTGAAATTAAAACTAACCTGTCATACTCTAGGCCAATACAGAGATACCCTGTAACGTTGAGAATTTCTAAGTCGCCCAGTGCCACCGAAGTGTCTGAGCAAATGCTGTCGCAGGACATCGCCCTCTGCAACGCCGCCGCTGATAGCAGAGCATCGGCGTCGGGATCAGGGGCTGGAGGAGGAGGTGGATCAGGGTTGGGTGGCAACACCACCTGAAACAAAAATCTCACAATTATTTATTCAATCACGCCAATGAGAAGTAGTCTGTGAAAATCTTTATTCTTACAGAGAGGAATAAAGAACACTTGACATTTGACAATTTTTTGACAGTTCCGCCGTTAAGTTCGTATATTTAGTGTTACATTTTAAAAGTGCGAGTGCTTGCAGATAATTGTGGTGTTAGACGACATAAAGACATGGTACTTTTTATATAATTTGTAAAGAGCGGTACAAGCCTAATGGAGGTAGTTGTTTCCACCGATAAGTATTATTATAACTACATAATTTTGGTGACGAACAATGCAATGTTAACGTACCTATAGGCTTGGCTTCTCGAAATCGTTGGCGAAAATCGAAAGTTAGCTGATTTTGGCCTAACAAACAAAATTAAAAATCGCTTCAAAATTAACTAATTTTGAAATGCTCTTGGGAGCCTTCTACAGCAAGATTTTCGCCTTTATTTAGATACTTGGCGACCTCCACAATTATACTTTTTTACCGAGCTGTTCAGCATTTTTAGGGTTTCAGACAGTATACTTACAACTCGAAAACGGACAACTTTGAAGAAAAGCTACTGGAGGCATTTTTTGTGTCGAATGATCCAAAAAAACCGGAAAAAACAGTGTGAGTGAAAAAAACGTTATTTTGTTAAAATTTTGAAGTTTTATTTAGGTATGCGTCTATGAAATTTCGTTGCGGTTCGCGAAGTATCCTGGTAGAGCAAATTTTCAGTTTTCTCACACCGCTGCGATAAAAATTTAACCTAGTTATTATCATTTGAGTATGCGATGCAACCAAATACTGCGGTCGGCTCTTGGATTATCACCGCTTCTCTATAACTTTGGGAGTAGTGCGAAGTTGTCAGATTGTGACAGGCAAATTTATGAATGCATGGGTAGGCTAATAATGTAATTTGTAGCTTTAAAAGAGCGTTGAAGGGAAATGTGGGAAATTTGTTTGACTTTCACGATATATAGTGATAATTTTTTTCACAGATTTTCATTTAGATTTTTTTCACAACCACGTTTGTTGATTGTCAGACACTGTTTGTGTAAACAATCTTTATTAAATAAATTCCAAAAACATATTTTTTGCCAGGACAAATTTTTTGGTTCATACTGAACAAAAGAGGCATCCAGTCACTTTTCTCTGAAGTTGACCGTTTTCGAGTTATAAGCTAAATTATCTAAGTTAAAGTTTATACCTTGCTCTACAAGACCTCGAAATGTGTTTTAAGATCATTTTGAAGCGACTTTCAAGCTTTTAATTGGCTAACGTTTTATGTTCCCAGACTGTACAAACAGCGTCTTTTAACATCGACGTAGCTTCAAGTCAATATGGGTCAAGGATAGTAATTTGACAACAGAAGCTAAACCAAGGTATATGGAATATTAGCAGCAGAATAGCTCAATACACAACATACTGAACACTAGCAGGGTTAATTTAGACACAAACATTTAATGGAACCTCGTTATTCCCAGACGACACATAACTTTTATAGCGATGGATCTTTTATACTATATACAGGCATAAAATATTTGATTCTTTGATGGCCATCTATTTACGTATCGTTATGATGCTATCTTAATCACAGTGTTTGTTACATTTCAATCACTGTAACATTATTGCTGTGATTTGACACTTTATTGGCTTGGTTTTTATATTACGCCATTTGCTTTAACTAGCTAAGTATCATGTTCAGACTTAAAGACGAAATTATGAATATACAATGCTTTTCAGAAAGGCCGCCGGCTATCAATTTTTTGAACAGGTCGTATTTATGAAATTCATGTATAAAACCTATGGTTGGGAAATTTAGAAACTGGAGATTCTACAGACTCAAATATGTGAATTGACCTAAACATACCTCAGTCCAAAAGTTGATAGTTTGCGAGATACAGGGTGTCAAAGTTACAATTTTATTTTCTGTTTTTCCTTATTGCTCGAGAAGTAATTCACATTTTGGCATAAAAGTCTGTATAGGGAGGTTTTCTAGTATGAGAAACGAGAATCGGTTATTTTTAATGGCCAAACTTCTAGAGGGCGCCCCACGTACAGCACTATTTTGGTAAATAACTTATCATAACTTTTTTGTGCTACCCTGTATACAACAACTGGCCGAAAGATGTTATTTTCTCTTATATTACGTCTTGCCAATCCGTACATTAAATGCATATCAGAATATTTATCAAACGTTATACTCCATGACGTTTAACACCTTAATGTCAACTTAAAATTATTCATGAAGTTTAAAGCAATATTATGACATTAGAAACGATAGCAACGCTACTCAGATATTATCCAAAGCAACTTGATTATTACGTTATAAAAATGTTTTATCATCATGGTGCAAAAATGCATTGGAACTTTTAGAAACAAATATCTCGAAAACTATTAGCTTTAGACACTTTTAGCACGTGAACCTTTTTTGTTGTGGAAATACGATAAAATAAGATTTTTCGGTCAGTTGTTGTATACAGGGTAACACAAAAAAGTTATGATAAGTGATTTACCGAAATAGTGTTGTAAGTCTAGAAGTTAGGTCATAAAAAATATCGGATTCTTCTTTCTCATACCAGAAAAGCGAGTTTTATGCCAAAATCTCAAATACTTCTCAAGTAATAAGAAAAAATAGAACATACATTTGTTACTTTGACACCCTGTATCTCGCAAACTATCAACCTTTGGACTAAGGTATGTTTAGGTCAATTCACATATTTTGTAGTATCTCCCGTTTCGAGATTTCCCAAGCTTTCGCAGACAGTTGAACATTTTATCGCAGCTGGGTGCCAATTCGAATATTTTTTCTTTTAATATAATGAGGGATCATCATTTTAAAGCTGCTTCATAGTTCTAGAATATAAAATTGCTCTCAATCAAAATGGAAATAGACAGGATGTCAAATTTCAGTGTTTTTGTACATATGAAAATTGTAGGTTAGTACGTTATATCAATATTCTTCTTTTGGAAGATGTGTTCCATATTTTCTTACATACATGCAACTTCCAACCACCGATTTGTCGAAAAACCACTGATTAAAAGAAAACAAGCTGAGACACGTCAAAAGATTTGTCAAGGGGGACAACTTTTCCACCAAAAGCTACTTCACCCCCAGTGTCATTTCCTTGGAAATTTTAAAAGCCAAGGGGTATCAAGTAATAACTTGTTTGAAAGGTTTTTCAAAGTCCTTCATTTTGACGTTTCATTTTTTAAAATCAGTCGATTCGTTTTCGAGAAAATTAGTTAAATCTATATTTATCTTAATTTTTTCAGATAGAAAACAAAAACACACGAAAATATCACTTCTTATTCCAATAAGCGTTCATAATGTTCCCCGTTAAGGTTTGCCAAATCTACATATAATTCGTTTATAATTTAAAATGGAAACTACCAACATAAACAGCAATTCGGAAGATTAGACAACCAAATTAAAATCCGAGTTTTTTCCGCATTTTTCCAAAAAATTAATGTATGGGAAGGCATTGTGATTGGGCCATTGTTTATTAATGGAAACTTGAACGGAGACATTTATTTGGATATGTTGGAAAATACCATCAATCCGCTTATCATCATTGAAAATCGAAGATGATGGAAACCCTATACTTGATGAGACTGAAATGTATTTCCAGCAAGACGGCGCTCTTCCTTACTATGTTCTTCCGGTTCAGTAATTGCTAGACTACGAGTTTCCAGATAAATAGATAGGGCGAAGAGGGCCTATAGAATGGCCTGCTAGATCTCTTGATTTGACGCCATTAGACTTAGACTGTCATGATATCCCACAACATGTTTTTGTAAATGTCCGGCAGGAATTTGAACATCGCCTATATCATTGTTTGGCCAATAACAGGAAACATTTTGAACACTTATTGAAATAAAAAATGCTATGATTTCTGTGTTGCTGTTTTCTATCTGAACGAATTCAGATAAATAAAGATTTTTATAATTTTCTTGAAAACGAATTGATCGATTTTATAAAATCAAACGTCAAAATAAAGGACTTCGAAAGACCCTTCAAACAAGCTATTACTCGATACCCTTTGTCATTCAAAATTTTTAAGGGGATGACCCTGGGGGCAGAGAGTGAAAGGAAGTTAAGTAGTTTTTGGTTAAAAAGGTGTCCCCTTTGACAAATCTTTTGACTTGTCTCGGCGATTTTTCTTTTAATCAGTGGTTTTCTATAAATCCGTGGTGGAACGTTTTCAAATAAAATTGTTTTCGTAAGGTAAATTGATGATTTATATATCAATTAATAGTTGGAACGAAGGAAATTCAAAAACAGTCCTTGGTATGCTGATCCTACCCTTTACCACAGGGGGTTGCATTGAATTACAGGTGTAAATTCACTAATAGCTTGCTAGTCTTGAATGAGCCGTTGCTTGAAAAGAAATGGAGGAGCCAGCATCCAGTGTCAAAAATGATAATAAAGCAAGAGTGTTTTTCAGATTAAAGATGGAGTTTTTCAAAAATGCCATCATTCAGTCAACGAGTGAGTTGAATCCACGTAAAGCATTCCAGAGAAGCAGCGTTGTGACTTTGACAGCAGTTTTCACTACTGTCAAATTTGGTAGTTGGTTGGATAAATGTTGCGAACTGTCAAATCTATTCCACGGCTACCGCTATTCAACATGAAAACGCTGCTTCAGTTTCTGTTGGCTAAACATTATTATACATGGTGTCAGAATTAGGAGTGTTGCATTAGGATATAGTCCAATAGCGTTCTTTAGGAGCACATATCCCTATAGGGGAATTCGGTAGGATATTTAAAAAAAGAGTGTGTCCAAAAAATTACCATTTAGTTCTATGTATGTAGCGGTGTTTACGATATAACACAGCACAGTTGATATCAATGAGTAGCTGCCTAAAGGGAATCGAAAGCCTGATATTCCTGTGAAGGCATGGAATTCAAGTGCCAAATTAGCATGAAACTGGCGTGTTATCCTTGAAGAAAAAATAAGCAGCTAAACAATAGTACAGTCATCAGTTTCTCCTAGTTAAGTGTTGCAACAAGTGGCTTTCCCAAATAATCAAATTCGCTCTCTACTGTCGGCCTTCCTAGATGCCTCATGAGTCTAGGCCATGGACGTAACATCAGATACAATGACTGTATGTGCATAATCAACCACTAAGATCCATCTTTTCGATCGCTGGTTAAGTTTCAATGACTTGGAAGTTAACTATCAGTTGCCTGCGAATTCGTCTTTTTTGTGCTGGTTAACAGTCCATATCGTGTTTTATGCGTTTAGTAATGTTCGGTATTTGTGTCACGTGTCATCTATGACAACTTATGTCTCTGTCAAGCATATCAGGTTAGACATTTAATCACAACTTGGTTAAAGTTAACTACCGCTTTTGGACAAACTTGACGTTGAAAAACGCTTTTTCATAGTTTTCTGCTGCTTAGCAGTTAAGTTGCAGTTATCCTGCGATTGAAAAACCGGGCCTTAGGGTCAAAAGTACATAAATGAAATGAGGTAGCTTTCAAGTTAACGACTGTGCAAAGCAATGCCTCCAGCAGATGTGAATGTGAATATGCAATTTTTATCACTCGGCAGCAGAAATTTTCACTTGGTAGATGAACAGTCATTTGCTTAGTTGTATAATCACCAAAACGCAACAACTTCGCCAGATGCTATCATTAAGGAAGCCTCAGATGAAAGAAGCCGATTTATTCCTTGAGGAAGATATCTAACAGCTCTCTTATCACACCGATTTGTTAAAATTGTCGAGGCAAATAATTACGAAGACTCAACTGAAGGAACAGTTATGTGCGCAGTACTTAGTCGTCAGTTTATCACCTTTCACTTGCGAATGGTAGATGAACAGTCATTTGCTTAGTTGTCTAATCACCAAAACGCAACAACTTCGCCTGCCAGATGCTATCATTAAGGAAGCCTCAGATCAAATAAGCCGATCTATTCCTTGAGGAAGATATCTATCAGCTCTCTTATCACTCCAATTTGTTAAAATTGTCGAGGCAAATAATTACGAAGACTCAACTGAAGGAACAGTTGTGTGCGCAGTACTTAGTCGTCAGTTTATCACTTTCAAATAATCTCTACTCTAGGAGCATACCTGTTGCTTCGGTTGCACATAGACCCCAGCCAGCTTCAGGGGCGGCGCGACAGCTGTCAACGGCCCCGGCGTCGCAATGGCTGTCGCTGCAGGCGTAGGAGGAGGGGCAGCAGGACTGGGGGGCGGCGTCAGACACACCGGAAACGACGACTGCGACAATAAAGTAGCCACGTTGATGGACGACACCGGCCTGGGAATCGGACAAATGCTCGTTTTTTCTGCGGCTGAGGTTTCTGACTGGCGCGTGTGGTCTACACCGTTCGTGCAACTGGAATAGAAACAGACATCAAGTAGACTGACTCAGAATTTTACACGTATTTATATGTACGAAACTTCTAAGCGTGTGATAAGTGAATATGAAATATAACCAACCGAAGTTTTGCCTCATAAATGTATTTCTCAACACAAACAGAAGTGGCTATAGTGCTGTAGTAGTAACCTTGCCTTAAACTTCAATAGCTCTATGTTGTCTTGTCCTTTGGTGATTGAGTAAATTTTTAGGTTGCCAGCAAGCAGCAAAGGTGAGGCCTAATGGGGAGAAATGCTCTGCATATGAGGTTAGCAGTCATTCTCAGCATAAAACATGTTATGTACGATCAATGTGTGACCTATTAACCCTTTGTTGATTGGTCGGTCCAATTCACTACTGCCAACCTGTCAGTTTGATTTTGGGCAGTTCGAAAACATTTAATTATTTATCGGATGTACTTTAGGCCACAGACAGACTTAGTTCTTGAGATATTCCTTTCCTTCTTTAAGTTGCAAGTGAAAAAAAAAAGATACATAATCTTTGTAATTTAAGGCAAATGAAGACTAATCATACTTATTTGGCCAAAATGGCAGTTTATGCGTTCTGTGCTTACGTTCAAATGACCTTCACAACATTATGAGTTACTTTTTGGAGATATATTATCCCTCATCATAATTTTACACCAATTTTCTCTTAGGCAAGTCAGATCAGTATTTACTGATCATTTCGTCAGTATCAGTGGATTTCTACGTAACCTCATATATCAGAGAAGTTTTGCATATGGGTGGCTTCTTCTCTGGCCACAAGATATCTGTCGCAATTAACGGGTTCTCCTTTTCATCCCACAACGGCAACGCGGAACTAACTCCTTTTCTGTACATTTAATTCAGCATGATGACAGCACCCTACATGCAGTAGTTTCGAGTGACAGGCCGATCTTTGCCGGTGCGCTGGAGAAAAGAAGACTAGCAGCGACTTCCTCTCTGACGGGAGACCTAGAGGTTATAGCTGCTTGGGGACGCAATAATCTGGTACAATTTAATGCCAAAGAGATGCTCATTCTGTTAGTCGGAGTCTGGCACGAACACATCCCGTCAATAGCATCCGGTGCTGGGAAAAAGCTTGGCTATTTGTTTAAGGCCAAAAAGTACTTTTTTCAATATGAACTCCTTACTATGAACAAGGCCCAAATAAGAGCTAGCCTTGAGTACTTCTCTTATGTTTGGGGTGCTGCCGCCCGTATACATTATCCATGCTTGATGATGTTCGGAGGAGGGCTGTCCGACTGATCGATGATCTTCTCTAATAGAAAGTCTAGGGATCCTTTCGCACCGGCGCCGGCGGGCCGTCGGCGAGCTAGCTTTCTGCTACCTTTTACGTCATCGGGCTTTGCTCCCCAGAGCTCTCCTCCATGATGCCGCCGCAAGATGTGTCTGCCAGACAGACCTGCCTGACTTCGGCTCCCTATCCCAAGCATGTCGAACTTTGTACATCGATAACTGGCCGATACGACCGCTCCTTTGTCCCTAGGATATCGAGATTATAGATATTATATGAGAATGCTTTTCTCAGTTCTACTAACACTAGGCAGTTCGAAAATCGATTTAACAAAGTTTCCTCAAGCTCCTCATAGCAGCGCGGTGCTCTGGCATTTAGGCTTCTACCTGAGCGGCTGCTTCGGTGTAAAAATACAATAATAAGCGAAGTCCTGACAGTCAATAAATATCACATTGCTTGGTAAATACTGACGGATCACAGTGAATACTGAGTGTGTGATTTTCGCCTTATCATCTCGGAAAATATGAAAAAGTACTTCATCTGGTGCTTTCCGTGTTTTTGCACATAGCTTTTCATAATAAGGTTTCAGTTCTTCATCCATGCTTTTTTAATCAAAACCAGAGTATATAAAATATAACCTTTGGAACCTCCATGGGGCACTAGCCAAACAGACAAATTACATGTCAAGGGTTATGACGTCACTACGAATCGCGCAAAAAATACAGCGAAATCAACGTCATGGGCATTGCAGTTTTAAATATTCAATCAAAAATAAACACAGACATTCTCATGAACGAAATATGTGTTCAAGGTATTATTTTAACGTGAATAATCGACATAAAACACCCTATTAGAACTTTTCGTTGACAATCAAATCAGAATATACTTTTTGGAAGTAAAATATCGATAATCCGTTGTAATAAAAATTACCTAAACCCCCGAAACAAATAAGACGTACAAGTGGAATGTTTTCCCGTCCCTTTCAGCTACTCTCGTTGGTTATATGTGGTGAGGGATACAAAGCGAGGGAGCCCATGTTTTAATATCACCTTCATCTCATCTTCGTGCGCCGCGTTCCAGCGTCACAATGGGTTATTGATGTTCGCAAAGCGACAAAGTTAATGGAGTGGTTTGGCTGGCATGTCGTGTCGTTCGACAGTGGGAACACGATCGTTCTGTAGTTGCACCATCTCTGCTGGGTAAATTCCCGCGGGCTGGAAATAGGCAGTTACGCGGTTGTATGTTATATAGGGTGATTCACAAAAATGAAACATCATACACATGACCGCATTTTAAGGGGGTCCTCGTTGTATCATTTTTCCCTCGAGGGCGTCATGAAAAAGATCGGGATGTTGAAGTTTAAAAAATAAAAACATTGTTTCAAAAACCGTCAACTGAAATGAACTAAAATTTGGTAGGTGGATTTTCCACATTCAAAAGTCTTTACCTTAAATTAACGTGCACCAGTGGCGGAGATCTGGGGTTGATTCCATTATTTTCCCAAATAAAAATAGTACGCCACTGTTTGTTCCGAATTTTACCTCCAATCTGTTACAAGCAATCAATTACTTTTGTGTTTTTTCCTAGAGTGCACTGTTTTCGTAAAAATAAAAATAAAACAAATTAGATGTATCATTGGTCAGAAAAACAAGAGCATAACAGAGAGCCAAAAAGTGGCTTAGTTTCCTAAGCTTTTTTTCTACAGTCCTTTTTGTAAGACGAAATGTTGCAAGAAAATCCAGGTCGTCAAATTCGTCAAAGTAATTCGGCTGATGGAGGATTATTTTGTCCTTCTTGCCTCTTCGTCTCTGCTATACGCAATCACGTCGTAATCCATAAACATGTTTTGGCTTTAATTTATAGCTATCGATCAACTGATATGAATCTCTGAATTGACGAATGAATGCCAGTCTGTGTCAACAAATGTCAAGTATTGCTATTTAACTCATAGATAGTCTTCTGGTTAAAGTTAACTTCCATCTTACTATGAACATGATATTAAAAAATGCTTTTTCATAGATAACTATAAGTTAAATCAGTTTATGAGCCCCACAGTTTCCTCTTAAGCACCCAACACAACTCTAGAGATTATTTGATGTTATACACCTTTTTTAATAGAAGACATGTCCAACTAGAATTCGTTACAATTATCCTCCCTTACCTCACTGACCTCCTAGTAGTAGGATGTCCCGAAACACCTCCAGCACTTGCGGAGACGGTTGTTGAAGGCGTCACTCCAGGCACCGGCGCCGGCCTGAGGGGCTGCGGCGGGATGTTGTCCTCCGTTGGAGGCGTCACACCCGTCCAGTCCGCGATAGGTGGAGCCACTGTAGTCAAGTTCATTCGGAAGTCGCAGTCGACGGTGTCGAAACGTCGGAAGCTGCCGGAACCGCTGCACGTGAGAGGAATGTCAGAGTCAGAGTGCACCTGAAAGTCGAAAGTAAAAAAATGGCGTCAAGTATGTTGACTAAGCACTTCCTGGGCAACGCCGTCTTCAATTCATAAAGGAATAAAAATTGTTACGAAAATGTACAATACAGAAATTAACGGATCAAGTCAGTCAGACAGGCCCATACAATTAGTCAATAGACATTATTTCCCTGCTCTACTGGTAGTTGCCGTCCATCTGGCAACGTTGCCTATTCCCACCGCCGTAATAGAGCAGATCAATCAAGCAGACCGTTACGATGAGGCCAGATAGCGGAAGGAGACGCGAATCGAAAGCATTTCTCTATCATTTTAAGTTTTAAATACAAATCAGGGTGGGGCAAAAGTCGCGAAGGGATTTGAAAAATTTTTTAAATTTTAATTTTAATTTTTTTCCTTACACAAAACTAAAATACAGTATTTGGAGTTTGTTTACAATTTAAGTATGACCACCATTTACAGCCTCGCAAAGTGCAGCTCTTATGAGAGCATTTTCCATGACCCTAGTCAGAATATCTGCTCGAATATTATCCTTTAGTTGCTGCAGGGTTGTGGGTTTATTAACATACACCTTTCCTTTCAGATATCCAGAAAGGAAATAATCAGGGGCTGTTATGTCCGGCGAGCGGGCGGGCCAATTGAATCCTGAATTTCTCGAAATTAAACGTTCGCCAAAAATCTGCCTTAGAAGGTGCATAGTGGCTCGAGCAGCATGCGCAGTGGCCCCATCTTGTTGGAACGTCATCGCTTGATTGTCAGCAAGATCTGGTCTTAAGAAATCATATCCCGATATCGCCCGCCATCTACAGATACAGTATTCCCATCGTGGTCTTCGAAGAAGAATGGTCTAATAATTCGTTGAGACGTAACTGCGCACCATACTGTACATTTGAGCGGATGTAATTGCCTTTGATGAACCACCCTTGGGTTCTCGGTACCCCATATTCTGCAGTTCTGCTTATTTACAAAGCCATTCAAATGAAAATGGGCTTCATCGCTCATGATCAGAGAATAAATAAATTCATTATCTTCTCGAGCCATTCTTTGCAAGCAAACTGCATAGTTAGTCGTTCTTGGAAATCTGCTGGTTTTAGTTCTTGCACTAGCTGCACTTTATATGGAAACAGATGTAAATTTCCTCTTAATATTCTGCGTAAAGACCTTCGAGACATCTGCAACTCAGCAGAACGTCTTCGGGTTGAGGTTTCCGGATTCTCCTGAACGCGTTAAATGTTCTCTTCATTTCTTGCGGAACGTAGCCTTCCGCTTTGTGGGAGATCCATAACTGTGCCTTGTTGCTGAAATCGTGCCACTAAGCGTCGAATCATTGATTCAGAGGGCGAATTCAGAAAATTGAAATGACGACGATATGCTTGTTAAGTTTGAATTATTGAATGAAGATATTCAAAATAAAATTCTACAAGTTTGGTTCGTTGATTAAGGTGTTAACGCTCCATAATCTCCCGGATTTATTTTTCACAGTTCGGGAAAAAAAAGAAAACAAAATAAATTTAAATAAGTTATTAACTTTTGAAATTCCTTCGCGACTTTTGCCCCACCCTGTATAAGGGGAAACCTATGATGGGTCAAATATGGCTAATAGGTGTATAGAATTACAACTAATTCTTCCTATTTCGATTAGTTTTTCCAAATAATTACAAGTCCTAAAAATAGCCTATCTTGTAGACATATACAGTCTATTCTATTCTCTTTATATACAGGGTGGCCAAACACGTGACGTCATAAAAAAAAATTAGATTCTCCACATCGAGAGGAACCCAAATCATCCCCATATATATGGTCCGATTTTGTTTAGTTTAGGAGTTATGATTTTTTTTCGGATTTTTCGAGAATTTTTGAGTTCTGTGTTTATTTTTATCATAACTTCGTTAATAATTGTGATAAATGCCTGCTTTTTTCACGATTATGTAGCTAAGACCTAAGGCTTAACTATCATATAATCATTCAAGTCATGTAACTAATACTACTTTTTAATTTTTTTCAAAATCTTCGAACATAACAAAAAAGTAAAAAAGTGCAACAACTTTGAACGTTTATAAAAAATTGAAAAAACATGTTCTTACTATTCGTAAGTATCTTAAAAACTTCCCTACAGTATTAGCTATTTACCGTAAAAATTTCATCAACCTAGCTTTACTACATGCTACCGTAATTATGGCTCAAATAGAACCGAACCCAAAATTGGATAACCCTCTGCTCAACAGAAATTGTTAGTTTCGGAAAAAAAATTTGCAAAAACCACAAAAACACGTTTGATTTTTACTGAACAGCAGATTATTATTCATTTATGTTATTTACAAGAGGTTTTCAAAATGTCTGCCTCTAACAGAAATGCACAGTGTACACCTACGTATGAAATTTTGTTTTAAATCTCTAAACGCTTGTTGTTTTTCAACACATGTGTCGCTTCTTGAATTTTGTTCCTCAATGAATTTTCATTTGCACATTCTTGGGCGAATGTTATGTCTTTAAATTATCCCCAAACAAAAAAATCAATGGGGTTGAGGTCAGGGGAGCGTGGAGGCCATCGTATCGGTCCGTTTCGTCCGATCCATCTGTGTGGGAACCTTTCGTTTAAGTAGTTTCGCACGATCGTTGCGTTGTGGCATGGTGCACCATCATTCTGGAACACCATGTTCCGTCTGGCTTCCAGGCTTGAATCTTCCAGCAATAATGGTAGGCTATTTTCAAGGAAGCTTTTGTAGGCTACCGAATCCAACCTTGACAGCAGTTCAAATGGACCGATAAATTCCATATTGAATATTCCTGACCACATGTTCACACTAAAACGGTGTTGAAATGTCGACGGCCTTGACTGGTGGGGGTTTTCAACAGCCCAAGTATGTAAATTATGGATATTGAATATCCCTGTTCTTTCAAAACGTGACTCGTCAGTCCATAAAATTTTATCAAAAAAATCGGGATCCTCTCGTTGTCTTCGCAGCATTGTCTCGCAGAAATCCACTCTTAACTGGTAATCTGAAGGCATCAACGCTTGAACTCTTTGGACATGATAGGCATGATAACCTTCTTCATGAAGAATATTTTGTATCGATGTTCGTGGTATTCTAAGGTTTTGTGCCATAGATCTCGTACTCGTTGAGGGATTCCGGCTAATTTCTTCAAGTACTACTTCTCTGCGATCCGGATCAGCTGTAGGATATCCTTCATTGCTTCCTCGTCCTGGAATGATGGTGCACCATGCCACAACGCAACGATCGTGCGAAACTACTTAAACGAAAGGTTCCCAGACAGATGGATCGGACGAAACGGACCGATACGATGGCCTCCACGCTCCCCTGACCTCAACCCCATTGATTTTTTTGTTTGGGGATATTTTAAAGACATAACATTCGCCCAAGAATGTGCAAATGAAAATTCATTGAGGAACAAAATTCAAGAAGCGACACATGTGTTGAAAAACAACACACAAGCATTTAGAGATTTAAAACAAAATTTCATACGTAGGTGTACACTGTGCATTTCTGTTAGAGGCAGACATTTTGAAAACCTCTTGTAAATAACATAAATGAATAATAATCTGCTGTTCAGTAAAAATCAAACGTGTTTTTGTGGTTTTTGCAATTTTTTTTTCCGAAACTAACAATTTCTATTGAGCAGAGTGTTATCCAATTTTGGGTTCGGTTCTATTTGAGCCACAATTACGGTAGCATGTAGTAAAGCTAGGTTGATGAAATTTTTACGGTAAATAGCTGATACCGTAAGGAAGTTTTTAAGATACTTACGAATAGTAAGAACATGTTTTTTCAATTTTTTATAAACGTTCAAAGTTGTTGCACTTTTTTACTTTTTTGTTATGTTCGAAGATTTTGAAAAAAATTAAAAAGTAGTATTAGTTACATGACTTGAATGATTATACGATAGTTAAGCCTTAGGTCTTAGCTACATAATCGTGAAAAAAGCAGGCATTTATCACAATTATTAACGAAGTTATGGTAAAAATAAACACAGAACTCAAAAATTCTCGAAAAATCCGAAAAAAAATCATAACTCCTAAACTTAACAAAATCGGACCATATATATGGGGGTGATTTGGATTCCTCTCGATGTGGGGAATCTAATTTTTTTTTTATGACGTCACGTGTTTGGCCACCCTGTATATATGTATATGTATATTATGTTGCAAATAATTAGAATCTTTCACATGATGGCGTTAAGTCAAGGGACGTTTTCTCACCACTTCTTGAAACTTATTCACGAGTATATCCAGACCGATTTTGAAATTCTGCCTGATTTCTAGCAGATTGTCAAACAGTGCTTTGGATAGTTTCAATTTTGGTGAATGTAGTACGTGGTACTTTACTTGACATCAGGACTATTGAAACAACAATATCTTCGTTCTCCTTCATATTTTCTAAACGCCTGTTGAATACCAATGCACCATGGAGTATTGAATTACTTATTCAAAATACCTACTAATAAATGCCATATCGACAAGCAAGGCCAACAAAACCTGGGCCTCAAGTCTACCGCTGTGTTGAAATGTGGCCTGACCACAAACTGTAGATGCTTTGCAGGTGCTTTCAGACACCGGCAATAGCAGCTTACAGTATAAGAATTGTACGTTTACACAATACAATACAAAAAACTAATAATAATTCGGTAGGTAATACATACAAGTTCGTGTAAGGTGAAAAGTACGTCTACGGTCTGGTCCGCTGTCATTTTGCTGACACGTATTCAATCATCAAAGTCCAGTAACAATATATAATATCTGGGTACAAAATTGTGTCTGGCAATATATCCTCAAACCAAAGTCGATGATTTCCGATATGGATACCGCGTTTCAGATACAGATGTTACATTATTCCAGAAAAATGCAATAAATCATCACAAGTGGCAACTTCTTTATTTTTATCAGTTACTTTGAGGTATGTTCTTCTCATACAAATTATTTTTAACTACTGAAGGGTTCAATTTCTCAGCGCATTGTGAGTTTTTAGAGAAGTTGATGGAAAATTTTGGCAACTATCTAATGAATATTATTGAAAAAACTTATTACATTTCTGCACTTTCAAACGGTATATTGTAGTGTCCAAAAGCATTTAATCTTCCACTGTCTCAAATAATTTACATATTTTGAGAACTGAAGGCTCTTTGGAATCTGTTTCTCATCACACAGATAACAGTTATTATCGACAAATTAACAACTAAAACACAACCTTAAAATCTATCAGGTATGAACTTTGGACCCTCTCACCTTCCACAAAGTTAAATGAGTGAGCTTTACAATGCTCAGCTACTAATCGATCAATTTCGTTTCTGTTTAGTTTCATTATAATGCCAGGAATCTTTATTTTTCAAAGAGTCTGTTAGTGGTAATTGCAAAAGTGTCAACTGTTGGCTTTTTAGATAAACATCCTTTACCAGTAACAGTAGTTGTTCATGCTTATCACTCTGTGTTTAATTTAAGGTTCAAGTTTCAGCTAAATAGTGCCCCATTCAATCTGTGAGGAGTTTTTACCACACTGCTTACTGTTTACATTTTATAGAATCTGCAGTCCTTCATCAAAAATTGTCCAAATTTAATTAGTCACAATGCTTGTTTCATCAAAGTAAATGCAAAATTGGAAATGTAATTCCACAGAAAGAAATGACTGACCCTGACAAAGGAACAATCATAAAAGTAGAGTAGTTTAGATACGTTTGCGTGCAGCTAATACAGATGTAGATAATTTATTGATCATATACATATATGTATGACAAGTCATTGGATGCAGAAATCATAGAGTAACAGAAAGTCGTACATATACAATGAAAAAACGAGTGCACATGAGACAAAAATCACAAAAAAAATACTAAAAATTGTAATTTAAAAATCCTCAACAGAGAAAAGGCGGGTTTTGAATTGCATGTAATTCAGCTCACGGATGGTCTGAGGAAGTTTATTGTAAAATTTAGATTAAATGAATTTCTAGTCTATAGTGTTCGGCCTCCAGCCTGCCTTGTATCATGGTTGTGGACTTCCGATTGGATCGTGTAGCATGAATATATAGCAATGTGAGTAGAGTCATGGCAACGGCAGTATACTCAACATTTATATATAATAACTGCACGTTTTTGCATTTTGAGTGCATGCACAAGGTGGCATGATCCTTCCCAAATCATGACGTTATAGATCAGATGTGAGTGGATTATGCCGAAATATGCATTTAAAAGGCCTTCTTGCATAGAGATACGTTGTAATTGTTGAAATACGAATAACTATGTTTAAAGCTTTGTGCATAAAGAGTCAACATAAGCCATCAATGTTTATGCCAAGAAGAGAAACCGTTTCGTTTTCATTCAACCGATTGTTTACTGAGCGAAGAGTCTTTTGAGTTTTGTCTGTATCAAGTTTTACACAGCAAAAACCTATCATAACGTGACTTATTTATACTCCGCCTGTATCCAAAATTATTCAAAACCTATATATCGGATTCGGTTGCGGTTACGGATAGTATTTTATTTCGGATAGCTGATAGTTTCGGTTACGGCTACGGAGCTCTGAAACATACCTTCTTGAGATCTTGGTCTGCTATTGTCTCGTCAAAACGATAACTGCGTATTTGCTCAATGTCTCGGAGATAATTGCCTTCGCTGAGCTTGTAACGTATTAAGACGTTCATCCTACGATCTTTCTGGCTTTACAAGCATCTCATCGCTGAATCCATTACATGTAGATCCAATAATCTCACAAAAAGCTTAATTCACTACCGGCCGTAATTGCTTTATCAAAAAATAATTGGATCCCTTCTTCAAAGAGTAAATCGATGTTTGTAGCTCTAAGGAGTCGCTTTATAAAAAGGCTCCTCCTCTGAGACGTTTGCGTTGGTTCAAGCAAATTACCTCGTTCCATTAAGGAGTATATAGGAGCTGGTGGTACCAGAATTAGTTATAGCTGTGGAGTTAGATGCAAATGTTTTCGTTAACATCTATATATTAAGAGTTGCTCTTATTTCTTTATGTTTAAAATAATAAAATATCCTGCTTAAACTTTCAACACAAAAGCTTACACAAATACACATACACGCACGTTGTATAGAGAGTGTTTCGAAAACATGTAGCCACCGTCCAGGATGAGATTATTTGAGCTTGAGACTGTTTTGTTCTTTGGGGAGTTACAAAAAGCGGTTTTGCCATACTCGGTATGAACAAAATCTTCAAAAATAACTTTTACTGCCACTATTAATGCTGAAGCTCTTTAATCTAACATAGAAGGTTGAAATTGGCAACCTCCAAGTTGGCTGCGATATTCGCAGTAAAGGAATACCCACATTAATATATCAGCCTCTTGTATGCATATAGAAAACAAAAAATAATGTATAGTCAACGCCAAACAAAGTGGCGTGCACGTCATCACGATAAAAATTCCCCGACCTAATGCCTAGGTTTCTATCACAAACAATTGCTCTATTGCAGTTTCATATTAATGTGATATATAAATTGTAAAATGGTCATTACTCTCTTATTATGGTTAATAGTCATATAAACATTGTTATTAAAATATCACATAAGTTGCTTTCTGATAAATTTAGACGCATTATGCGAAATAAAATGTTTTGCAAACGCTCCAATCACTTATCGACATGTAAACGCACTAAACCGATTTCGCAGCGTTGACACATTGTCACCTTGAAACTTATTTAAACTGGGAACTGACATTTGTATTAATTTTGACACTGAATCAATTTGTGGCATTTCAAATCTTTATAAATCCTTTGGCCCCGCATACTGTAAATCAACAACTGTTTGTTTCAAAACAAAATTATTCATTTTACGAGTAGATAAAGGCAATTTTGGTATATAAAGATGCCCAAACAGTTAAATAGTCGGTGTAAGGAACTCGTGGCTTCGTTAATGCACTACTTTGAGCAAGGGACAACAACGGGCCTTTGTTGCCTTTAAATGCTGTTCAAGAGGTAGGTTACTAATAATTATATGTAATGTATATTAATAATAGTGAAATTTTATTTCATTTTTTGTAGCGTGTTGCTGCTGCTTTAAAAATTAGTTTAAGGACAGTTAGTCGTATTTCCGAGGGTATGAAAAGTGATGCAAATTTAGAATCGCCCAAGAAAAAGCGGAGTTATATTAAACGTGTAACCAACACAGCGACATTGGATACAAGTGCCATTCGAGAAGTGATCTATAATATGTATCACAAAAGTAAGATCTTATTATAATAACTTATCAGAAATTTGCATTAATTTGTTAACTAAATTATAATGTCATATTACACATGGTTTCAGAAGAACAAGTTACGATACAAACTTTATGGTCTCGATTAAGAGATAGGGCATTATTTGATGGTAGTGCCACGTCTTTAAGGCGGTTGCTTAGAGATCTTGGATTTAAGTGGCTTAAGGACAATCCGCGACGAGGGCTCATGGAACTACCACGTATAGCTTTGAAAAGGGTGGAATTTCTAAGGCAATACAATCAAGCCAAGGTTGAGGCCTTATACCAGTTTGTCTTCCTCGATGAAACTTGGATATTTCAAAATGGGACCATAGGTCGCTCTTGGCAAAATGGAAACCAAAAAAGCGTGAAAGCTATTAAAACAGATGGTAAAAGGTATGTACTTTTACACAATTTGCACTATAAAATTTAAAACTAATATATTTTAGATACATTATATTACATGCTGGAAATGAAAATGGGTTTATTGAGGGTAGTGAAGCGATATTTTCTTCGAAAACAAAATTGAGCGATTACCATGGAGAGATGAATCAGGACAATTTTTTGAAATGGTTTCAACATCAGTTATTAGAAAAATTGGAGAGTCCATCTATGATTATACTGGATAACGCCCCTTATCACAGCATGATATTGAACAAAGTGCCCAACAATGCATGGACAAAAAAAAATATCCAAGACTGGTTGACAAATCAAAACATACCATTTTTAAACACAATGTTTAAAACAGAGCTATTGAGTATTGTTGCTCGGTACATAATGCTTCTTAATTATATATATTTTGGTCGACAGTTTATATTTCTTTTGTTTATTCCTATTCTTAAAATAACTGCTTTTTTAGAAACAAACCACCTAAAATATACGTGATTGATGAATTGGCGGAACAACATGGGCACAAAGTTCTTCGTCTGCCTCCTTACCATTGTATATTTAACCCTATTGAGTTAATTTGGGGCATAGCAAAAGGTTACTATAACAGACATATTGGTAGAGATGGTAACAGTGAAAAAGACTGTTTGAATATGTGGAACGAGGCTCTACAAACGGTTACTCCAGACATGTGGAAAAATAGTATTCGACATACTGAGCAAGAAATTTTTAAATGGTATGAAAGAGAACGAATTTTTGATCGACCAGACATCGAACCTTTAATAATCAACTTTGAGAGTGATGAAGATTCAGATTCAGACAGCGCTGAAGAAAGAAACTCCGACTAACTTTATTGTACAGAAAAAGCTTACACCAGTAGCTTACCTAATTTTAGAATGCATTTTTCTGTATGAATTCTGTAAAATAAATACCATGCATAAAATTTGGAGGACCCCATTTGGATTTTTATTCAGTACCTTTAAGCTATCAATTAAATATGGTAGTTTCATAGTGTCATCTGATCAATAATTGTCATACTTAATGATTATGCAAGTACAGATCTATAATTTTATTATACTATTATTTTTGTTCTCATTTGAGGTTAATATTGCTTATAAACCTAGATATGTAAATAATAAATTTTATTATTTTACAAAAAGTTTGGCAACAATGTAAATTTTTCAACACACCCACCTAGATGACGTGCACGCCACTTTGTTTGGCGTTGACTATAGGTTCCTATCGAATATAACCTGTTATTCATAAATAACTCTTGAATGAGACGACAATCAAACAAAATTTTGACAGCATAGTAACTAGTTGGAACTTCACATGATGGTGTCCAAAAAGAAATTCAGTCACTTAAGCCACTGATGACAATGAATGAACAGATAGACCCAATGAAATATAGCTAACTTTTACGCGTTGTATACTAAATCTCCATTTTTGACTCGCATATTTGTGGCTAACCAGTCATTCTTGTGTTGTCTTAGCAACTGTAATTCAATGCAAGATTCTGACGTAGAGTTGGAGCATTTGACCTTGCTTAGGATCAACATACCAAGTACAGTTTTTGAACAACGCCATTGAGTGCAATGGAAGCTCTGTTGGATCTCCCACCGTTGGATCTGGTGATCCGCGGTGAAGCGAAAGTAGTCGCTCATCGACTGTGGAGTCAGGACAGCTGGCCTTTCTTGAATCCTGTCAAGGGACATACTGCCATCTTAGTCGAATTGCAAAGGGAGGACCCCGTCCTTCTAAGCAGGGGTAATCGTATTACCCCAAAATATCGCTTCAACCGCAAGTTTCTTGTGGAGTATCCAACGATGGAGGATTGGGACGCCGGTATCCGGAGACTCTCCGGAGTGAATGGGCAGGTCTGGTACACGAACGGCTCGGTCACCAAAGAGGGCTCAGGTGCTGGGGTCTCTGGGCCTAGAACTAGGCTATATCTGCCTCTCGGTGGCTTGTGTATCTCACATTTTGGAGGAGGGGGGGCCTAGGAGAAGAATAACAATCTTATCCCTCAGCCAGGCTACAATGACAGCACTAAGTGCCTGTAAGATTACTTCTAGTCTTGTATTGTAATGCAGGGAGACTCTGGATTGCCTCGCAGCGAGGCATCCGATATCGTTAATATGGGTATCGGGGCACGCTGGGATAAGGGGCAATAAGACGGCGGATACTCTGGCGAAGGCAGGATCAGCCAGCAAGCTCGTTGGGCCTGAGCCAGCTCTAGGAGTGACCGCGCATAGAGCTAGGAGAAAAACGGAGACGTGGGTTGCAAGACAACACTCTCAGAACTGGAGAAGTATCTCCAGACATCTCCGCCAGGCACGGGAACTCATTGAAGGGCGCTGTGTTAAGGATTGACGGTTCTGCCTATCTCTGGATAGAACCAACCTAAGGTTGCTGGTGGGATCGTTGTCTGGCCATAACACGTTAAAGCGCCACCTGCACGTGATGGGGGTGGCTGACGATCCCTTGTGTGAACGCTGCGGGGTAGAGGAAGAGACCTCGAGGCACGTTTTATGTGACCATACTGGGGTCCATTACTTTGGACCCTCAAGACATCAAGGAGCTTGGACTCAAGGCGATTCTCAACTTCGCTAAAAGGGCGAGGCTTGTGATCTAAGCAATGTAGAGGTGCATAAGGGCCCGCTTAAGCGGCCTATGCACTGGCTAATTATGCTGGCTGGAATGCCTCTAATTTCAAGATTCATTCATTTATTCATTCACAGTTTTTGAATCCCTTTTATTATACCACTGATAGGTACTTCTAGAGGACGCTACTGGAAATCGTTTTTTTCCAAATCACGTTTGAACAGCGTTGTAGTATCCAACGTTATTTTGATACTAAGCATTTTCCTCTATACATCAAGCTTGGAATTTCCTCAGCTTTATTTTGACTAGACCTAATATGTAACTTCAGAGATGGCATTATTGAAGGTCTAAGCTTTAAGTTGTATACTACAGCTAGAAGGAAACGGCAACGCAAAGGTGCATAGTGTGAATAAGTGTTGATGATAATACCATTGGTTTCTTGTCTTTAATACACTTACTTGAGATTCAAAGCTAGAAATTAGTTGCGAAACCATTTTTTTAATTCATTCTGGAAATTACCAATGCAAGTCTGCTGAGTTTCAAAAATGAGAAAGATAAAAAAAGAAAATCTCTGGTTGTTGAAGTAACAGGTGAGAAAATATGCTGCTACAGACAGGAATATTTATGAAAGTGAAAAGGTTATTACATAATTTTTTATTTCCAGTTGAACTCAAAAAAAAACGACGAAAATCATAATTTATAACTTTGAACATAACCTGTCTTCAGAAAGGTCAACATATTAATAACGTGTCGGGCACAACTAATAGATAACTTCATTGGAAGCATGTTCAGTAATAATATTTTCACATAGCATAAGTGATTTTGTATACGTGTAGACCAATCCACATAATCATCCAGCTGCGATCTTGCTACTCAACCAAGTCTCCTTCTTTCACATCTTCTCAGAGATAAACAGTATAGACTACTCGGATTCACAAAACGTATACTTATTTTCTGCAACCAACAATGCGTGTAGATAAACAGTATAGACTACTCGGATTCACAAAACGTATACTTATTTTCTGCAACCAACAATGCGTGTAGTTAAGTCATTCCTCCATAGATGTCAAGCATTGCCGAATGACATTGTCTGTGCCTCAGTCCCTTCCTTTCCCTTCATTCTGAATGCACCTTAAAGAAAGCAATTTCGTTGGCTGCCTAGCAGCGGATCGTTAATGGCACCGATATCGAATCGCTGCTTGAAGAGGATATCCAATTATTTTTTAATAAAGCAATTGTGGTTAGTGATATATCCGATTTTTTTATCCTTTGTTCGCTTGATATGCTGAGACAAGGCTATTAGATCTGTTTCACATAAAGTATCTTAGTAACCGTATAGTAATTACGGTTTTGACTACTTGTCATCAAACACAAGGGCCACCAGGAGAAAAATAAGGCATTATAAAACAATTTATAAAACGTTTGAAAGTATGTTATACAACTTAACTAGACCTACACTAGAAAACCCTTGAATAGCATCTGCACTGACTTGGAACCACTTTACAGTCCGCAAGACTATTGCATGCAAGCCCTTGCAGTAGCAAGAGGGCATTGTTGCTGTATGATAATGAACAGCAGACAATATGGCAAGTGCGAGAAGATGGATCTCTTCGGGAAAGCTAGGCGAGAACCAACGGCCTTGTACAGTGCCAGCAAGAAACTTGTAGTAAATAGTGCACAATTCAAAACTATTGAATTGGGTGTTATAAATTATGAAGAGAGATAGCAAGTCTGAAGGTGTGCCGTGCCATCGTAAAAAACTCATCTTAACCGCCTCGCCTCACTCTAAATACCCGGAATAATTTTAATTTTACAATATATTAACAATACGGTGATTTAGTTACAAAAGAATTTAATCAGAATTACTTTTCTTGGTTAGCCAAGTATCTTTATGGCCCAAACTAAGGTAAAAGGAGCTCTGAGGCAAAGCAGAGCCGTTGCCTCTTTTTATTCCATTCATAACGATAATTATCCAGAAAGACAAGGTAAAACGAGCGGGAACATTTAGGAATTTTATTGCACATGTAGTGGTTGTATTTTTGAAATTCCATGAATGTTTGGCATATGTTAAAGGTCCTGCTTGGTATTTTGTGGCATTTCGCGAAAATGTTTGAAAATATTTTCAGTACTTTGTGGCACGTTCCGATATTTCCTAGCTTGTTTCTCCGGTAAATATTCGTATAAGCAGCTACACATTGTCATAATGCCTGATATTGCATCGGCATTTAATTTTTTGTAGTTAGGTGCAATCGGGGCTCAAGATACTTAGGTGGTAGAGTGTGAAGATAAAATATATGTTTATCCGTTAGCTTTATCATTCGAATAGAAATTCCAAAGCATTTCATAAAAAGGAATTTCAGGGTACTTCAGAAAGATGCGAATATTTGATGCTGTTTCAGGAAGGTATCTCGGGGAACTAGCCTTTCAAACCATTGGAAGGTAGCCATACCCATTACGTTCGTCTCCAGGACTACCAACCAAACAGCGCTGTCAGTGGCTGGTCATGGTTACAGAGACGAAAAGATAACATGTTAATTTCAATACTAATCCTATTCACATGCCTGTTGTTGTGCAGTCAGCAGGTGAATGCGATATTTTTATTCTCTGTCTAATTTCTTCTACCGCATCTTCTTCCACATACTCCAAATGGTATCTCAAGATCTTGCAACCTACAAACCAAGCTAGAGAAATGCGGGTTGCAGTAGTTCATGCAAGCAGTTGTGCGATACCTCGTTAGGTGCGTAGGCTACCTTAACAGTAAACAGTGAAATTGATATTCTTTACATAAACAGGTATGCCAAACCTTGTAAAAAAATGATCGTAATTCTTTGGAACGATACAACTAACGTTCTTTTTTAACATTTCGTTTTTTGCACTCAATTGTGCATTGCCATTAGTTTACTGAAAAATGACAGTAACTGAAAGAAGAAAAACCTACGATATGACTAATTGTTGGTCCTTTTTACTCAGCAGTCATTAGATTTTCTTCATCCACAATACGTGTTATGTATATTATTTTAAGTTTGATCCGTATAAACCTAATTTTCCTTTGGTTTTGTGAAAGTATAAAGGTGAGGTTTATTAAAAGCAAAATGCGCCAGTAGCATGCAGTTTCTTACCGTAGCTAATTAAATCCTTGACGGCAGGCGTATGAACTTACCAAGTATCCATTAGCATTATAATGGCCTTTCAGCCTTGTCAAGGAAACCTTCTCCTCCTTGTTGGCACGGATCCAGGCCTGGATCCAGCTCAGAAGGTTGACTTTGTGGAAAAAAGCGAGGAACACTAAAACTACCAGCGCTATGGCACACAGGACTGTTACGGCTACTTGCACGTCACCCATCTGGAAAGATTTTATTTAGTTAGCTTGTAAGGAAGCAAATTTAATTTACAGATAATTTCTTGAAAAATATATAATCTGTATTTAGTTCTGATATGAAACAAAACTATGCGCTAACAGGTGACATTGCTACCTACAGAATGGTTTACCAGATGCGATACTACCCGTTAATAGCAGAGAACTTTATAAGGTTTCTTGACACCTCTTAATGTTAGTCGGCTTCGACGAAACGGACTACGTACACCACATAAATTAAATTAACAATAATGTCACTCCTTTCCTTAAAACGACGATATTTAGGCTGTCCCAAAATTGACACAAGATTTGAATTAGATGGAAAATAGTTTCACTTCTTTCTTCCTTACTTTCTTTACTCTGTTAAATTTTAAAGCACCCAGAGGAGGAACATAAACGAAACCGCAGATCTGGTACATGACCTCCTTCATTTTGTTGGCACAACTGTTGTAGGTATCTGCAATGAATATTTGGTGTAAATGTAGCTGAACTTAAGGGAGCGTTGGATTTTCTCTTTCAAACTTCAAAAATTTACAGTTTAAATCACCGAAACGAGAGAGGACGCGACTAGGAAATGTCTCAAACTTCAATTCGCTATACGACTTGTGCCACAGTCTTGTTGAAACCACACGTTATCGATATCAACATCATCAAGTTTAAGCAAAGAGTAATCGAATTGATTCTGATCCATTCTTGGAACCTTATGTTTTACCACCACATTTGCTTGATCTGCTATTCTATACATAACCATATTCTATGTACTTCGCGTTAAGAAAAAATAACAATCTATATGACATCTGGAACTTATCATGTGGCTTTCATGTTGATAATTCTTCATTATTGTAAAGTAGCGGCAAAAAAATGAACTGTCACCATAAAGACAGATAAATATATAAAATATGGCAGTGTCAATTACGTTTTGTATATCTAGTTTCATTCATTTAAAAACTACCTTTCCTATTTATTTTAAATCTCACCTAAGGTTTAGGGCCATTTAATCTTAAAAAAAAAGTTGAGAAAACGGATTTTACAACGGAATCATATCCTTGTTGGTTAATGAATATTCCTCATCAAGAAATACTGAAAATTCGGCCTAGTCATATTTTTATAAAAACATCAATAATTGTAAAAACGCTTTTTCGCGTATATTCAAAGAACTGTGAAGTATTAGTAAAAGCGATCAAGGAGAAGGTTGAAACTGAGTCTCACTGAGTTTAAATTGGTACAGCTTGATTTGATATTATGGTAGGGCTTGAAGGCTCCTTTTTTACACCGAAGCAGCTACGCAGGCAGAATCCTAAATGCCGGGACACCGCCACTGCTATGAGAATCCCAATTAAATTTTGTTATTCCGGTTTTTGAACTGCCTAAGGCTAGTAGAACTGGGAAAAGCTTCCTCTTAAAGATTGTTCTACAATCTCGACAGAAGGAGTGGTTTATCGTCCAGTTCTTGATGTACGAAGTTTAACTCGGTTAGGATGGGAGACCGATGTCAGACGAGTCTGTCTGGCAGGCACATCGCACGGCCGCATCATGGAGCAGAACTCTGAGGAGCAGCGTCCGTTGGTGTAGCTGAAGAAGAGAACTAGAACGTCGACGGTTCGCAGGTGCGAAAGTCGGACAACCCTCTTCTGGACAAAATCGAGCATAAATAATGTAGTCAGGGCGGTAGCACCCCAAATGTGTGAGCAATACTCGATGTTACCAGGGCCTTGTATAGGGTAAGGAGAAAAGTACATATTAGGTCTAAGCAGTTGGCTAATTTTTGATGCACGTTTTCTAATTGGTCATTGATGATCCGCGTAAAAAATTTGGATTCCTGGATCAACTGAAAAAATACGTTTTTGTAGCTAAGCCATTTGATTTATAAAGAATTTGTTGATTTAATACGGGAAATAGAGGCCTTTATTACACAAATCATATATTCTTTCGCTAGGGAAATATTTTAGAAAAAATCGACTATATTTACTAGATGTATTATTAGAAAGATGATCCGGATCAAGATTTCTTTTCTCCTGTGAGTAAAATCGGGCCTGGGAAATTAAAAAGTCGTAGATATCCAACTTATATTTTACTGATAATCTCATAACAGTAAATCTGAAATAATGGACAAAAAAAGTCTCTGCGACGGTTAAATTTTACCAGAAAGAATCATATTGTATTGCCCAACAGTTTCTTGCAAATTTCTAATTGTTACTGATTTTTTCAGAAACATATTTGAACTTGCTACGAATATTTGCTTATTATTCTTACGTAATATATTGTGTTGCGATGAAATAATTGCTATAATAATATATTATTTATTTACCCAAATTACAAATGAGCAACGTGAATAAGTAAATGTAAAGCAACGGGTCCAAAGTAGGCACTGCCTGGACATGGACCAGTAATTTTATGTTCCAACTGTAAAACAGAAGCTATAAAGCATAAGGAAGTATAGATTCAATCATAGATTTAAGTTTTCTTCGAAGCAACCCAGAAATGTTAAATGACATTCGACACTTTTAGGGTCACCTTCATCATCCTCGAAGTATGTCAATATTGCCGACTCCTTATTAGAGGCCATAATTAATTATTGCTTTATTATTTAAGCCATATCTACGATGTGTACATACTAGAATTACCAAAACACGCAGTGAGTTATCTTTCTTGATTAGTAGACCACCTCGGTGTAGACATGCCTATTTCGTTTGTAGCCTGAAGCCCTCTAAAGCATCTAGCCAAGCCGGCGACTCACAAACAGTATTTGAGATGTGAACAGACCTGTTGTCGATTCACAGGAACCTCTTCTTTTATTCGTCATTGCCGGTCAGAGCGGTCCTTGGGACCTTTGCTCTTGGCTAAAGTATTGTAGGTCTGTCAGGTGTGGTTACTTGGATATCAGACAAAGTCTGGGAGAAAAAAGGCAAGAAGAAAGGAAGGAAAGAAGGGGAAGAGCAAAGAGGAGGAGGTGCGTCTATTGGTGGAGTGCCTTGACATAGTTAACTAGTATTCATTAATTTTAAATCGATCCGAAAATTAACTTAAGAATTTGTGTGAGTGGAAAAATTATATATTTGGCAAAATAAGCATCTCTCTCTCGTACCCTGCATTGGAACGTAGTAGCTTTCATGTTAAATCGCTTAAATATGTAGGGTGGCTTAAGCATTATTGAAACAGTGGTGTGCATTTTCGCAAGGGAGGCGTATAAGAATGTTATCCTAGGGAACCCTATATATGTTACATTACAAAATGATGCCATTCCTCTCGTGTCCCATATTGCCTTCCAGATTGCCGCCAAAATATTATCGAATTCCTCAACAATTTGATCGGTAAGCAGAGATGGTTGCCAGGTCTCGACGCTAGGAATGGTAGGGAAAAGGGGGAACGGGGTCGGTGATGCGAAAGGGAATTCATAGTTGGGCCACCAGGTTGGAGGCGCTGATATGGCAGAATGCCAATAAACGCAGCAGGCGCTGCTGCCGGAGATAGCCGATAGGACGGTGTCATCCACAATGGCGTGCCCAGTATAAAGATCAAGCTACATAAGGGGATTTTTAGACCATGAAAATATTTCAGAACACATGTGAATATTTTGAACTTCCATCAAAATGCTTCATTATGTTCCGGTCTCGTCGAAGTAAATACTACTTGTAGTACCCTCGTAGCTCACCAAACCCACTTCGACGAGACCTTCACATAATAAGGATCGAACATCACTTACTTGGTTGTTCTTTAGAAGTCCAAGTTTTCCAATTTTGCTATTTTTGTCCTGGATTCATCCATTTCCAATATATCTGTGTTTATTCATGCACATACTTCCAGAAGTTCTTACTTCAAATCAATAATAAGACACACTAAAGCACAAAACATATATAAAAATGAAAGTGTTGCGTCACCGCTCTTACAATAAAAAACAGTAGAGTTTTTCTTATTGTGTATTCATTTGTTTCAACTTTTGTTTTTATTGTGAGCGCAATGCCGTTACACTTTCATTTAGAGATATTTTAGTGTCTCAGTGTGTTTTACTAGAGATTCAGGAGGTGCAGCGACTATGCGGTCATGAAAAATAGTAACTTAAATATTCGAAAATACCTGAATTGCTTGGGCTTTTAAGATACTCGTACAATCAAGGCCATTTAAGGCTTAAGGCCATCTACGGGCTTTCATATACAAAATTTACATACAATGTTTTTCAAAAAGGTTTACCCCTGCTTGTTTTTAATGGGTTGAGGTAGCAAGTTGAAATTCAAGGCGATGAAATTGATGCACATATTTTAGCATAAAAGTGCCAGTTGAAAATTTCAAGATCTCAGCGGGGCGACACCTTGGATCACTTGCTTCAGTAAAATACTGGGTCATGGGATACCTCATTTCGGAGCTCCTTATAATTCTAGAATCTAAAATCACTATCCCTTGACATAGTGGTATGCTTTCAAAGTTGAGCTCGAATTGCTAATGTATAAGAATAAAATCAATCTGGTAAACGGAAGATGAACTAATACTTCGTTTCTGTTCTGGAGGGAGTGAAATCACGCCCCCCTCCTCTTGAATATGAACTTGTGTAGAATCAATATTAAACAAAGCGATTCGAAAATGAAGTTTCAAAAGCTCTATTAGCTACATGAAGTTTTTAGCCCTAAAGATGAAACCTTTCAAGTTGTAAGTTTTGATTATAGCTATAGCAAAGCGCATTCAGTTATTCGTGGAACTTTATTCACGAAACTTCCATTCAACAGATGCTTCGAATATTTTTTATGGTTTCGTTTGCACAAGCTGAGATTAAATCTCGATTATTTCAAACACTTTGCAGACAAAACCCTAACGCTGGGTTTGCTTATCTAGAGTGGGTGTAATCATTAGTGAGATTCATCAAGTAGCATGAACTTGAGCTTTCAATATGATGGTACTAATAAGTACAACCATTAACAATGATTCCAGTTATATGACTCTAAATGTAAGTTAGGTTTTAGTGTTGCATAACTTAAATTTCGTCAAATAAGGACATT